TGCTGTTCGGAGGAGTTTTGGCCGATTGCAGAGGACTTTTTTGGCCGGAGCAAGGTGAGGGTAAGGTGATGGTGACTGTGGTTGGTTTAATTGTCATACATAGCGCAACATACATGAGGTGCGGCAGCACGAGTCGGAGGAGTTCTGGCCCGCCGCCCAGGTCTTCCTTGGCTGGCTCAAGGGCGTGGCAAATATCCCTCTCATATCTCCTTGCAGAGGGAGGGAGTGGCGGTCAACAGGGTGTTCCTCGACGCGCTAATGGACGCCCTCTGGTGGGCGGGCAGGCAGGCCACAGCACTCAAGCTGCATGCACCAGTCCAGCACCCCTCTTTTCCCTTGTGTGTGCTTGACCCAACATTCTCGCTCACCCCCCCCCTTCCCGCACAGAGAGAGGGAGTGGCAGTGAACCGGGTCTTCTTGAACGCGCTCATGGATGCCCTCTGGTGGGCAGGCAGGCGGGCCACAGCACTCAAGCTGCACGCGCCAGCCACCAGCCTCGCCGTCTTCCCGGAAGCTTCCTACCGCTCCCCGACCCTCTGGTCACTGGACGTGCACCGGTCAGCTTTCTTCCTCTGTCCCGCTCCCTTTTTTTGTTTTCCTATGCCCCAATTTCTTGTCCTCTTTTCATATGCAATTCAATCTCCAATCTTCCTCCCTCTCGTTCAGCTTGCCACAAGGGCTGGCGTGTGTGCGAAGAGCTCACTAGCTCCTCCACCACGAGCTCGCTCAAGTGCGTGAGAGAGCCCACTGTTTTTTAGTCGACTCAAGAAAAGCCGGCAAGTGTGTTGTGTTCCTTCCTCCACCACTAGTTCGTTCAAGTGCATGAGAGAGCCCACTATTCGCAAGCCTCTCTCCCATCCCATCCCCACCTGAACCCCACCAATCTCCTTCATTCCCATGCAGCATGTCACAAGGGGCGGCATGTGTGTTTCTGCACCACTGGCTCTCGCAAGTGCATGAGACAGCTGTGCTGGAGCCAGCAGAGCTTCCTCCTCTCTTCAGTATAGTCACAAGGTGAGGGTGTATATAGTTTAACCTCCCCCCCCCCCCCCCCCCCCCCCGAAGCGTAGCTGGATTTTCGTTATCATCATTCGATTCGGTCTGTCGTTGTCCCCTAGTGTATTTGTTACATTGTGTTTTTTTCCCCCTTACATTCCTATGCTTGATTAATGAAACGCGTCAGGTGGGGTGATGAGAGTCCCAACAAGGATGAGGCCGATGCAGCGCCTGTGAATAAAGCCATGGTGCAAGCTGTTCAGTCGCTTCAACTCCCATTCGCTCCAGCACCATGGAATAGAGGCCGACTGGTTGCGAATCGCGAAGCCTTGGTGACATGGCTTCTAGCAGATGGGAATGCCGATCTCTTGGTCTTGAAGGATGCTCCATTTCCTGTAGAGGTTTCAAGTAGGTCTGGTGCTTGATATTTGCAAAACCATTGGCATAAAGATGTATTTGGTGTAGTGCTCTTTGAAAATGTGTGAAACTCAAATATAGTGGATGTAATCCTCACTGGAAACGGGCCCTAGGCTTCGAACAAGGATGGTACAAGATCCCAGTCTCAATTCCGGACCTGGATTGGCCACAAGCCCACCCACGGGCATCGCACCAGTTCCGCTTCGATTGACGGCGGTGACATGTCAGTTTTGGCGCTCGGCAGTTTGTCCTGACGGCTAGCGGACGTGCGAGTCCCAAACCAGCCTTTCCCGCTTCTGCAGGGGACAGTGATTCTGGCATGTGATTGTGCAGAGAGGGGCACAGAGAAGGCTCGGATTTGGTTTGGCCTAGCTCGCTGATTTGAGAGCCTCTAGGCCCGGCAGAAGCTGACAGGCACTGTAGCTGGAATGATTGGGCTGGGAAGTGGCAGGAGAAACAAGGCAGTTGCTGATTGGCGAAGGTACTGCAGTTTATGTGTTTACTTTCAGCCCGAGTGTATAAATGTAATGAATTTCCCAATAGAAAGGCAGTTATCCTTTATTCTTCCTGGTTTGTACTACAGTCAAGACTTGTGACCGTGATATTTTTCGAGTTACAGTACAGCATGCTGGTCGCTGCAAAACAAGGAGATGAGAAAGGAGCTGCTGCACTCCCACGACTATGCAGCACAGCTGGTGAATCTGACGGGAGTTGCTGGATTGGTTGGGAACTTGCGCTAAAAAAAATACACCCTCTTTCTCAACCTTTTCACCTTGCGCGACTCGTCGCTACAGTACTTGTCTCATGCGATCTGGTGCCAATAAACGTTCCTAGGCAACCTGGGGGGAAAGCCGGACCACGTGACAAACTGGCTCAAGGACGTAAAATCTCCGTAATCGCTTCATAACTTTCCCAAACAGATGAAAACGTTGACAACGATTTTTGTAAAGTGCATAACCTTACCCAACCGCATTCTTCGCATTGTGCTTGCACAGTAGGTGACAAGACCATTCTGAACGTGGTGACGTTCTACAATCCATGTACGTTCTCCAACCAGGTGCTCTACTAGCGCGAAAAAGGGTGTACCCTTGAACTGTCCTTATCCCCAACGAACCTGGATGATTTGTGCTTAAAGGCGGGGTGCAACTTCTTAGGAACAGTAGCAGGACAAACATGGAGTGTGCGTAACGAGACCCTTATTGGATGAAAAAAATGGAATCTCGGAAAAGACAAACTTCTCGCCACAGAACTGCCTGGGACAACCAAGTTCCAAGCTATAATACTTCGAAGTTGAAGCTGATAGTTGGGCCACGGCTTTAAGTTCCCAATGTCTTGCATATCCGCTGGTTGAGTAGGATTCTAGACGTAACGCACCAGAGAGAACCGTAGCTAGTGGGCTGTAAGGCGAGAGACAACCCCCTCGATCCAAACCAACAGACAAAATGAACGAAGGCTGATAGTGGGAGGGAGATACAGCAACACAAGATTGGCTGGCTGGCTGGCTGGCTAGGGGCACAGGGCGAGATAAGACATCGGTCTTCATTCTAGCTCTGTTCATTCTGAAAGCTGAGATTTCTGACATTGAGATTGCTGCGTAGCGCCTGAGTTTATCCATTGATCCAACTAGGCTTCTGCTTATTGCCAGTCCTAGAGAGCAACGATTCTTCCTGGTGGTGAAGATTTCTGTTTGTACGCTCTTTCAAGTTCGGAGCTTTCAGGCGTTAGGTGGTTGAGGCAGTCATAAGGTTATCGGAGGGTTTAACTACCTTCAGCCTATTTCTGTCTCTTCCTCTTTTTTCTATTCCGGGCGATCATAAAAGGCCGCCAAGATGATGGACATGGTGTTGACCCTCCTTATAGCGAGCTGCATGACGCTAACGCAGTTCGCGCTACAGCTCAAGGAGAACATGTCCACGTGTGCATATATTAAGAACTTCAGCCTGGTTCTAGACTCTGTCGCCAGCATCCACTCACTGCTCGAAAACTGCAAGAAGTTAAAAAACTGGGGAGCGACGACGGATGCGGCGAAGAAGGCGTTTCAGAAGCTGGAGGATCTTCTGAGGAAGTGCACGGGCCTGCTGCAGCGCTGCATCAGCGCGCGAAGCAAGCTTCTGCAGGTTCGTGTCTCTTTTTTCAAGTTTATCTATTTACTTATTTATGCTGTTGCGGCCACTAAAGTGCGTCGTCTCACATATTAGTCGGCTTGATCTTGTCATTTTTTATTTTTATTTTATTTTCTGATGGCATCGTGCAAAGTAAATGGCTAATGTTGAACCTTGTTAGAACGTGTCACCATCAGTCGCTGCACCGCACCTCCCACACAATTTAAATAGCCTGAGAAGCCATCAGGGACACATTGCGAACCTTGCATCGCTCGGCGACCGTACTCAAGTTCTGAGATGTCGCAAAACTTTCATACAAACAAGTCGCCAAACAAGCCATCAGGGTGACATTGCAAAGCTTGCATCTCTTGGTGACTCATTACGAAAGCTGTAAAAGTCGTCACATTGAAATATATATCTGTTTCCTTCATTGGTTCGCTTTCCACCCGCAGCTGGTGTCAGAGACGACGATCAAGCCCGACGATTTCGTTACCATGCACGCTGAGCTGGAAGCCGTTGAAATCGTTGTATTATGCAAAACTATCTCTCCCCTTGGATTCCCTTTCCACGCACATTGATTCTCTTTCCGCGCGCAGCTGGTGTCAGATACGACGATCAAGCTCGACGATTTTGTCACCATGCATGCCGAATTGGAAGCCTGCCTGCTCGCCATCCCCACGGACGCCTTGCAGGATGACCTCGTAGCACAGGTACGCGATAGGACGTTACAAATATTACAAATGTGATTTCTGGGTCGTCTAAAAAATCAGCCGGAGGCCTGCCTGTTCGCGATCCCCAAAGACGCCATTCCTGATGACATCGTAGCGCAGGTACGCAATAGGGTGTTACAAAGGTGGTTACCCGACATGCGTCGCTTCTGTATGTATCTGGTTGCGCGCGTGACTTGGAACGGTAGATCGTAGTGGAAGCTAGGGTAGTTCGGTATTTGTAGCCGGAGGGGTTTTGAGTCGACTCTCTAGTCACATCGTGGAGGCAGCTAGTCTAAAAATGGAAGGCAGTAGATTTGTCAGGCATGCTACAGTATAGTCTCAGGCCTTGACAGGTTTTATCCTGGCCATTTTTCACATTGGACCAGCCTTCCCACACTCCCTTTTGAGGCGCCGCAAAAGTCGATTTCTCACATTGTACCAGCCTCCCCGCACTCCCCTCGACCACGATTTCGTGAGTGCGTAATGGCTCTGTTAGTGCCGTTTCTATACATTTTATCCATCATTGCCATCTGTTATTCTGTGCGTTCGACATATCGTCAAGGCCAGTCCACGTTCTCGGATTGTCCACGTCAGTCGCCGCTTTTAATGCGCCCTTGACTTGAAAACCCATTTGGGTAACGAGGAGACCAATAACGGGGAGGAGAGGAAGACGAGATGACCCGCCTGATGATGCCTTCCATGTGTCGTCGTTAACCTGTCCCCCTCGTTTTCCCCTTACGTTTTGGGACGACTCAAGCCTTAGCTATTTTTCTGTATGATTTCTTCCTTCCGATCTCCCTCCCTCGTCCAACTTGTCACCTTTTCCGCTTGCTTATCCCGTTTCCATTGTCCCTCCGCCCCACCTTCATTCCCCCGCTCCTTCTCCTTCGCAGCTCCAATCGATGCTCAACCAAATCCATCCGTTCTGCACTCCCCTCCCCCGCACCCCCTTCTCATGCACTCCCCACCCACACATTCCCCGTTCCCCGCTCTTTCCCTGACCCAGTTCCAAGCAACGCTAAAGCACATCCACTACGCGTGCTTCGAAGATCTCTTCACGGCCGACATGAAGCAGCTGCTGCAGACTCAAGCCCTTCCCATCTCCCCCGCCTGCCCCGCTTTCTCCCCGCTCCTTTCCACCCACCCTTTCCCTCCGATGCAGCTGCAAGCGACGCTCAAGCAAATCCACGACGCGTGCTTCGAAGACCTCTTCACGGCCGACATGAAGCAGCAGCTGCAGTCGCTGCAGCAGGACGGCGCGGGCAGCGGGGGCGCGGGCGTGCGGCGCAGCAGCAGCCTGGGCACGCCGTACACGCAGAGCCAGTTCCCCGCGGGGCAGCTGGCGGACGCGCTGGGCATGGACGGCGGGGGCGCGTTCCGCAAGGAGCAGGAGGCGCTCGCGCTGGAGAAGCGCAAGGCCGCGGAGAGCAGGGATAAGACGCAAGAGGCGCTCATGGATCAGGTACGCGCTCACGTTCTCTTCCCCTCCTGATCCTTCTCCTTTTGGCTGGTTGGGTGGAGAATGGGGGGGAAAGGGAAGGGTGAGAAGGAGGGGGTAAGGCAGGGGAGGGGAGTAGGGGGAGCTGTTTGGCGCAGCAGCAGCCTGGGCACGCAGTACACGCAGAGCCAGTTCCCCGCGGGGCAGCTCGCGGACGCGCTGGGCATGGACGGCGGAGGCGCGTTCCGCAAGGAGCAGGAGGCGCTCGCGCTGGAGAAGCGCAAGGCCGCGGAGAGCAGGGATAAGACGCAAGAGGCGCTCATGGATCAGGTCAGTGGGGGGAACAGGAGGTGGAAGGGTGTGGGGAATGGGGAAACGGCGGAAAATGGGGGGAAAGGAGGGGGAGGAAATGTAGGGGTTTGATGCTGGCGCTGGAGAAGTGCAAAGCCGCTGGGAGCAGGGACAATGCGCAGGAGTGGCTTATGGATCAGGTCATTGGGCGGGGGAAGAGGGGGAGAACGAAGGGGTGAAAATGCGGGGAAACGGGAAGGGAGAGGGGGGTGTGGGGAAGAGGCGGAGAGGAGGTTGGGAATTGGTATGGTGCTGAAGAAGCGTCGGGCGGAGAAGGGCAGAGACAGTGCGCTGGCTAATGGATCAGGTCAGCCGGGAAAGGGGTGAAACGGGGAAAGCGGGTGGAAGGGGCAGGAAGGAGAGGTGGAAGAAATTCCCTTACGTCCTCGCCTTGGTCTCTTATTACCCCTCCCTCAATTCCCACTCCCCGCCTTCCCCAACCCCACCTCCACCACCCCAACTTACACCCCCCCACCAGCTGACCACCATTCTGATGCGCATGGAGCGCGAGCTCCCCGCCTTCAAGGAGTCCCAGGCGAAGGTCCCTCACAACCTCTTTTACCCTGACCTGTTTTTACCCCTCTTTCCAACCCCCACCCCCACCCCCACCCCTGCCCCCATGTCACTCTACACCCCCCCACCAGCTGATCACCATTCTGATGCGCATGGAGCGCGAGCTCCCCGCCTTCAAGGAGTCCCAGGCAAAGCTGGCCCGCGAGAGAGCCTCCGCAGCAGCAGCAGCCAGCTCAGGCGGCGGGCAGCGCGGCAGCAGCGGCCTCTCAGGCACCTCGTCTGTTCCCAAGTCTCCTAAAGAGCTTCTCAGCCCCACCCGCCGCCGCATGATGCTGCTGGCAAACGCTGTGGACGATATGACTGGGGATGCTGCTGGGCTGTCGCTCACTGGGAGCGGCGGGAGCGGGTCGGCGGGGCGGGAGCGCCGAAGCAGACGGTCAGGTGCGGAGGGCGGTGGTGCGGGGGAGGGCGGGCGGGAGTCGCATGATAGGTATGACTCGCAGACCCAGCAGCAGCAGCAGCAGCAGCAGCAGCAGCATTCGCGGTTTAGGGACGGGGAGGGGGATGGGGGCGGGCGGACGGACGACGATCGGCACAAGGACCGGAACAGAGTGGTACGAGGGGAGAGGGAGCATAGGAGGAGTACCGAGCGGAGGGACCGAGGCAAAGACGAACCTGGTTCCGGGACTGCCATGCCAGGTTCTAAAAGCACTGGGGGAGCAGGCGTTGGCGACGCCCGCTCCAAGTCACCGTTTGACATGGGCGGCAGGAAGGGCGGCGACGATTTGGAGTATATGGATGACCCGACACGGGCTCGAAGCGGCAGTTCGAGTGGGAGGGAGAAGGATAAGATGGGGAAGACGGGCAGTGGGGGGAGCTCTGCTAGTAGCGTGAGTGGTGGGTCACGTACCCGGTCTAAGACTGGGCGTACTAGCAGTGTGGATAAGCCCGGGGGGAACGGGGATATGGGGGGAATGGCGGGGGAGTTCGGTGGGGAGGGCGGCGGGACAGGTGCGGAATGCTCGGATCCGGAAGCTGACCTGGCGGCGTATGATCCCGAGGCTCCGCAGCAGATCGTGCAGAATCTGCTGTTTGGGTCGGCGGAGGAGAAGGGCCGGGCGGCGGGGCTCGTCGGGTGGTACGCATCGATCTCAGCTGCGAACCGATCGACGTTCCGAGAGGCTGGTGCTGTAGATGCTCTGCTGCCTCTCGCCGTGGGTGGGCCGAGGGACCCTAAGGGAGCGGAATCCGCGCTTGCTGCTCTGTTAAACCTGTCATCCGATGAGATGGGGAAGCAGGAGCTTCTCACACACCTCCCGCTGCTGATCCAGGCGCTCAAACGCGCGGATTTCTCCCCGGCAGCCGGCTCATCCGCTGCCAACGTCATGAAATGTGCCGCCTCGTTTTCAGACCGCGCCCGGGGACTGGTTATTGACGCAGGAGCAGTCCCACCATTGGTGAAGCAGCTCACCGGATCGAACAACGAAGGGATGCATCCGGGGTATGATACCCCGTCCAGGCAGGCTGCAGCAGAGGCTGTGGCGTGTCTTGCTCAGTGCGAGTCGCAGCGGAGCAAGCTGGTGGGGGAGGGGGTGATTCCCGCCCTGGCGGTGGCGCTACAGGCGAATCTGAACAATGAAACGGTTGTCGCCACCTGTCAAGCGCTCTCACGGCTTGCGACGGTTCCGGACGGGAGGGAGGCGATGGGCGAGGCGATCCCGTCGCTGGTAACCGTGTTACGGCTGGATTACCCTGCGGCGGTGAGGGATGCGGTGGAGGCGCTGCTGCAGCTGGCGAAGCACAGCCCGACGCACAGAAGCAATATCAGGAACAGCGGAGGCATGCGGTACTTGCGGAATGTGTTGCGATCGGGCCCACCCACTCTCCATCCAAAGGTGCGTGCAGTGGTGGTGATTACTGCGCTCTTTTTTTCTATTATTTTTGTTTTAGCCTTTCTCAAAATGTGATGCGTTATTGCTGCTGTGTTTCTTGCTTGGATGTTTTGCTGACTCTGGCTGCGATGTTCCTTGTCGTGGTGTACTTTGGGTGGTGTGGTGGCTGACTGAAATTTTGGGGTTGCGAGCTGGGATGGTTTGGTGTGGGGTCTGTTTGTTGCTGCGCCTGCTTTGCTGACACGTGCTGATTTACAGGCTATGGAGCTGTTGGCAGCTCTTTTCTCCTAACTGGTCCTGTTATGGGCTATCTCCATCATTATCGCAAATACTACTTAACTTGCAGCCCTACCTTGCCTGACATATGGCCACAGATTTGTGTGTGTCTAGACACGTCAGGATGCGTTCTCTGTTATCAAGGGGCCCTTGGCCTTCATGCCTAGATTTTAGAAACATGTGTAGTCCAGAATTCTAGTAGGGGGTAGTTAAAGCTTGGGTTTGTTGTAATGTACGATTCAGAAATGTTTACTATTCACGTTCACTCTTGTATCGCGCATTTTGAAAACGCACACCAGACGCTCTTGCGAGAATCACGGCAGCAGACTACCAAAATCGGCCATTTTGTCAGAGCCCTCTGCCAGGGAATGTGGAGAAACCACCAAAAACCTTCATGCTTCTGATTCGGTATACTAAAATACGAGTCGTTACAGTCTGGTTCAATGTGGTGATCGGCGGTGGATCACTGACATGACTTTCCTGACATTCCCGGTTTTGTTGCCAAGTTTCACACTAACCAAGTTTCGTTGTCAAGTCTAGAACCACCAGTCTGAAGTAATGTCCTAAAAGCTCTCCCTAATCCTCATGGCCTACCGAACCGAACCGAGCTTTCCCTTCTGTCCTGTCTCGCAGCGAAGGAAGCAAGTGTTGCATGGTAGTCTATTACTAGATGGATGGTCCAGTGAGGGAACAGCCTGCGATTTGATACAAGGACACCGCACAATAGAGTGTTTTGGCCAGCATGCACGAGAATCTGGAGCCCTCTCAATATTATTTTTTCTCGATTGGTAGAAATTCGTGATGTAGCAGTATGCGGGAACCCTTCATAGTTTCGCTATCATGGTGCGGTTCGTGTCACATCAAAGTGGTAATGCATTTCAGTGTAGTGCTGTCACATGATTACTACGAGCAATCTAGTTTTGAGGCGCCTCACCACCAGCGTACTGATGTCACATGACTACTTCGAGCCATCTTTTTGAAAGCGAAAAGAATCCGTTCGGGTTGACATGACACTTTCGCCGTCATGCAATCCTCTGCTGTGTTGCTTGTCGCAGAGACGATCATCTCGACGGGTATTAGACATGACAGACTCCAAGCAGAATCCGTCTCGGTGAATTCATTCTTCATCCTGGCTCATTCAGTGCTTGTCGTGTATATAAAAAGAGACTCGTAGCCGAAAGCAAGCAGATCAAAGGACTTCAATCTGAGATTTGTATCTAGAAGCTAACCTGACAAAGATGGCGTCGTTCAAATGGCTTAGCGGGGCGATTGCAATCCTCTGCGTGCTGACTTTCTCAGGTGAATTTATGCTCCTTTTGTTCTCCTTCGGTTGTGTTGGTTTTGTCACGTGTGTCTCTTTTTTTGTACCAGCTACTCGTAGACCTTGAAGCAGGTTGTCAGTCATGGATGCACTGATTTCGAGATCAGTTGAATCCAAAATCTTAAAACCTTTTCCACAATTCCCTTCCAATCTTTCTGAATTTCCAAATGGCGGTTGCAGGATTAACTGTGGCGTTGGCATCTCGTGGCAAGGCGCTGGAGAGTCACAGAACCACACACGATGCTCGTGAAATTCATGCCGATTCGTTTGTCAGGCACCGCACTCTGAGCGACTCCACTCCAGCAGAGCCCCTGCCAGAAGTTCCACTCATTTCTTCAACTGGCAATGGTGGTGATGGGGTCAGCAGTGGCAGCGGTGGAAATCAGTCGTTTTCCAACAACTCATCTCAGGCGGCTGTATTCTCCCGCCTTGGATGGCCATCACCTCCCAGTCCACCTGCTCTTGAATTCAGCCCACCGTCGTCATCACCGCCACCACCAACGTCGCTGACATCATTGCCATCATTGCCGACATCATTGCCATCATTGCCATCTGTTAACAACCCTCTTTCAGGCATCTGGTCTTTCTTGACTGGATCACTCCACCAGGGAGGGCCGTCTCCTCCCAGTCCACCCACTGTCGCATTCACCCCACCAGTGTCATCACCGGCATCACCGTCATCACTGCAGTCGCCATGCGTGAACCAACCACTTTCAGGCATCTGGTCTCTTCTCCCACCCTTCCTCCGCATTGGAGGTGGCAACAGCTGCAATGGTGACAGCAGCAGCGGCGTTGGTGGGGGGGAGGGGGTGGCGGGAGCGGCGGCGGCGGTGACTGGACGTGTCGGTGGGGAAGTGGGGGAGGTGGCGGAGTTGCTGACAGGGCGCGGTGGTGGCGAGGAGGAGGGGTTGGTAGGAGCGGCGACGGAGGTGGCGGGACGTTTTGGTGGGGAGGTAGGGGAGGCAGCAGAGTTGCTGACAGGGCGCGGTGGTGGTGGCGTTTCCAGTGACGGCTCTGTTCTCGATGGAATCGGTTTTCCTTACAGCGGGTTCAGCGGACACAATGCCAGCAGCAAGGCAAGCCAGGCTAGTCGTGCCAGTCGTGCTAGCCGCGCGAGCCGTGCCAGCCGTGCTAGCAAGAATGCACTCCCTAGCCGCCTCGCCTGAATATTCACACTGTTATTTCCATTTATAATGTTTCCTTAGAAGCTGCTTGATTACTGGTACCGTACCTGAATCACATTACATTAAACATAACAACCCTGAAATTCATAACATATGTGCGAGTGATAACCTCTAAAGTCCGTGTACAGACGATTTACCCTACTGCTGCCCTGGATAGTGTCGCGGAAAGTCCCTTGAGCTTTTCCTCCTTTTTTCCATCAGTATCCAATCATATGCCTGGAAGAAGCCCGCCGCCAAGCCCTCAGGATTCGTCCACGAAGCTCGATATCCTCAACAAGAGGATGCGAGCACAACGAAAAGAACAGTGGTGCCACGTCGGCGTTTGCGAAGAATTGTTCAAGGTCGGCTTTTGGTTAGGATGCTTCTCCTTCGTCGATCTGGTCGTACATCACATCGCCTGTCGCCGTTGAATTGTCGCATTACCAGGGCAACCTCCAAGGACAAATCCATTTTTGCTGACTTGTGGCGACAGCCGGCGGGAATACAGTCGCGCAAACTCCACAGAAATCCCAGAACCACATGATGTGGCAAAGCGCCCCACAACCGAGCTCTTCATCCCGTCCCCTTGGATTGGTCCGCGACACACCATTTGCCGTTTTTCCCCCACCCACCCTCCCCTCCTTTCCCCCGCCCCCGCCAACCCTGCCGCGCCACCTCTTCTTGGCGGAACACTTGTCACCAGCTCACCGCTTCCGCTAGTCTCACCTGTTTCCAAGAATTTCATATCTTCATCTTCACCGCACGCGCGTCACCATTCTCTTTCTCTCGAACCTTCCCTTAACCTCCTACCTCTCTCAAACGCTTAAAACCTCCGTCCACCTCCCTCAAATGCTTCCAAACTTCCTCCCAATCTCCACTGCCTGTGGCCTGCATACCTCCACCACCTCGTCCTTTCATGCCTGTCCCTCCCCCTCCCCTCCGCCTCCCCTCCCTTCCCTCCGCTTCCCCTCCCCCTTTCCTCCATCTTCACTTACCCTAAAGTCTGGCTTACTGCAGATTTGCATTTGTTGGTAAATCCACTACCACCGTTTCTTAGTCTCTGTGAACCTGTTGTAGGGACCTGCCATTCTTGGTTTCATAACAGACCTGTATTCTCGCTCCTGTCTGCGCGACCTGTTTTGTGCGGTCTCCGCATAAAGCCTGCACGAGCTTTCGGTTAAGAGCGTTAAACCAGCGTTATATCACTGTTAGCATCCCAGTGCTCGTGACCGCAAAGCCCTGCTCCGTTATAGTGTTCTCCGCGATTCTCGCATAGTATCTCGCGCGCAGTCCTATTCGCAGCACAGCTGCTTGACATCCAATACAGGCCTGTTCCGAACCAATCACCGTGGTCCTTAACTCGTACATAAGAGCCTCCTCAGGACGACTTTCGAGACGATTCAGAAGTCTGCTCCGAACAGTCACCCTGCTCCCTAACTCGTATATGAGGGCCGTCTCGGCATCCTGCCTGCCTCCCCGTCGGCATCCCCTCGTCGCTCCCCTCCTCGTTCCCCTCCGCTCTCCCCTCCGCACTCCCCTTCGCGCCCCTCTCCTCGCTCCTCTCCCCGCTCTTCTCCGCGCTCCCCTCCTGGCGTCCCAGCGTCTCAGAATCCCTCATGGCTCTCCTCGGCGCCCAACCCATCATCTCTTCTGTTCCTCTCTCAACCAACGCCCTAATCGCGGAAAAAAATCATTTGCTGAGAAAAAAGCCTCGTCATTCGGACCTGTCTGGTCTGCGCAGCACGGTATTCTACAGTGGCAGTCCAATACCCAGCCGCGGCAACAGGATTGTACAGGCAGCAGCCGTGACAGAATCTCTAGAGCATTCGTTGGCGAGTCGTTTCTTGGCGAGAAGCGTAGAGAGCTATTGTAGCTCGCAGCCGGGGTTATGTCCGCGTGGTTTGGGGCTCCGTGCGGGTGGTACGGAACGATGTGTGGGTGGTTCGGGGCTAGGCTCGGGTATTGTCGCCAGTGAAACCCACAGTGGCGTTTTCTTGGGGTCCGCGATTCGTAGTTCAAGCTTTTCGAACGTCGCTCGCTTGTCGAGAGTTTCGCGTTGGGTCGCAAACGTCGACGGGGTGTCGTCGCCTCGCGACTCATCCGAGGGATTTTTCTCGGCACGTACCAGCATCTCGTCGCCTCTTTGGTCGCCGTGTCTCCTCGCGAGCGTCGCTAGCGCTCGATCGCTTCGCACGTTACCATCATTTAACGTTTCGCATCCGTCGGCGCGGTCGTTCCAGTTCGCCTCGGCGATTCGCATAGGAACCCTTGGTCCGGTCGCACGGACGTCGCACGCACGATCGTTCCGGCGATCTGCGTTTGGTACCCAATCACGAACGAGGACCGGCCAGCACCGTAACTCGTCTGCACCCATGTAAGTGCTTACATCTGTTAGTTTCCTTCGTGATTTTATATGTATATGTTTTCAGGACTTGGGGAGTGATCAATGACTCACACACACACACACACACACACACACACACACACACACACACACACACACACACACACACACACACACACAAAAGACGTCTCAATTGTTGTCCCGTGCCCTACCCTGCAGGACACCGCGGCGGGCGTTGAGGGGGCGACGCCGCGCGCAGAAGAGCCGAGTCTCCGTGCAAGAAGCGGTGGAGGCGCGGGTCGAACAGTCGTGCGATCACGGCAGCAGCAGCAGCGCCAGCAACTGTAGCAGCACCACCACTTGTGAAAGATACAGCAGCCGCAGCAGCAGCAGCAGCTGCAGCAACAACAACAGCTGTGTGAATGACAGCAGCAGCAGTAGCAGTACCGTTAATTCCGGGGGCTTTACTAGCCATGACATGGCGGCTGGTTTGTGTGGTGCGATTGCAACGAACGGGGGAACAGCAGCAGCGGCGGCGCCGGGGGCGGGGGCGGTGCTTGACTGTGATATTAGCGGGGCCTTGAATTTAGATGCGAACTTCGTGCCTGGGGCTGATGACGTGGCGCAGCTAGAGAGAGTGCTGGCGCAAGCTGACGTGGCATCTGTTACAGAGTCTAGCAGCCGAGCCGTCATTCCCGATGCGGATTCGTTCAACCCCTTGGGATTGCCGCTAGACGTGTCAGTGGCCCCAAACAACCTGGATGGGTGGGCATCCTCGTTAAGAGACGAATCACTGGATTCGTTACAGGATTGGGTGAACTGGTTCGAAGGGCGCGATTCTCACGTAAACTTTGACAGAAGTGAGTCTGAGCGTGACACATGGGGAATCGGGAAGTGGGAGAAGTGGGAGAGGGGGGTACCGAGTGAGGGTTCTGAGAAGGAGTTGTTTATTCCGGATGCCCTTCCGCTGCTGAGGGAAGAATCCGCGCTATTGGACGACTCGACTTGTGCAAGTAACGAATTTGGGCTGGACAGCAGCAGTGGTATGAATGACCACATGAGTTTGCTTGAGCCTCTTGTGCTGCCGGATTCTCTGATTCAGCAGCAGAAGAAGCAGCAGGAGCAGCGTCAGACTGAGCAATGTAACGAGGTTGCAGAAGCAGTGGAATTTTACCCGTTGCTGCGAAGATTAGCTAAGGAGGAGGGGGGCGAGGAGCGGGTGGGGGCGGAGGTAGTGGGAGAGTTATCATTGCAAGAGGTGTCGTCTGTGTTGGCTGCCAAGCCTGTCCATTCTACTGAGCCTGCCGAGGCTGCTCATCCTGCTGCTTTGAGGGGTGAGTAGCATTGCGTAGGGAGGGTGACAAGGCTGGTTCCATTCAACTGCGTTTTCTTACCTTGCCTTTCCTTGTTCCTTCCTCCCTTTCTCGCTTGTCTTCCTTTTTCCCTTTTCTTTTCCCATCCCCATCATCCCTTTGTTTCCCCCTCCCTCCGTATCGCTGCAGCCTTCTACTGAACATACGTCTTCAACTGCTTCCTTTCTCCCTTCCCTTTCCCCATTCCATCATCCCTTTGCTTCACCTCTTCCCTCCCGCTGCAGCATTCTACTGGACATACGTGTTCAATTGTTTTGGCGAGCACTCGTGGCGGTTTGCAGGAGCAGCGCTGCTCGCACTGCTGCACCACTCGCTGCTGCCCGTGGCTGTGGCCAGCTTCGTCAGCCAGGCGAGTCGCTTGCCTTGTGCTTACTCACGTGCACAGCACAAGTGCATGCTGCACTTGTCACTCGCTGCTCGCACTGCTGCACCACTCGCTGCTGCCCGTGGCTGTGGCCAGCTTCGTCAGCCAGGCGAGGCGCCTGCACTCAGTTGGTTAGGCCCTTGCATTCACTCACACAGATTCGTGCAAATATTCATAGGCACGTCTCCCATGGGCGAGCATTAAGGACTCTTGGCTTCATGCATTTCATGCCCTCTCCTGTTCTTTCCGAAACAATCTCTCTCCCCCCTTTTCCCTCTCCCCCCAGTTGGTGGTATTTATAGGCGCTCCCCTCGTGGGAGAGCTTATGTACTCCGCTCCTCGTGGGGCTGCATTCACCCCACCCTCGCTCCCCTTCCCCACCTTACCCACCCCATATCCACCCTCTCTCCCCCCCCCCCCTCTTGCCCCCTCCCCCCCTCCCTTGCCTCCTTCCCCCCTCCCTTGCCCTCTTCCCCCCTCCCTTGCCCCCTTCCCCCAGTTGGTGGTATTTATTGGTGCTCCCCTCGTGGGAGAGCTTATGGACTCCGCTCCTCGTGTGGCTGCATTCAGCACCATCTCTGTTGCTCAGGTGAGTTCTCAGGTGGATTTCCTGGTGACTTTCAGGTATCGTTAAGTGAGGCTTTTTTGTTTTTTCCTTCCTCGGTTTCTATTACCCAAATTTCACCCTCCTATCCTCCATATAGACGGACTTGTGCCATGGTTATTAGCAGCACTCTCTACTTCCCCGCTCATTCCATTGTTCCCACGCTAATTTTTTTTCCATTTCATCCTCTTGATTCATTCATTCGTGCACAGACCACTGCCATGGTAGTAGCAGCTCTAGCCACCATACACGCCATTCAACTCTCCGCCCCAGCTGCTGCTAGCGCAGTTGCCACGTCAGCCGCCACGTCAGCCGCCACGTCAGCTACCACGTCAGCCCTGGCTGCTCTCCCGGGCACGGCTGTGCTGCGGCAAGTGTGGTTCGTGGTGCTGGTGGTGGCTGGCGCGGTTGAGAGGCTCACTGGATTGGCCTCAGGAGTGGCATTCGAGCGAGACTGGGTGATTGTGGTGAGTGTGAGCAGGAGATATTGTGTGTCAGTGGTCTCGTGGCTGTGATTGTGAGTGTGAGTGCGCGTGCAAGTGAGTCTGTCTGTGGTTCGTGGTGCTGGTGGTGGTGGCTGGCGCTGTGGAGAGGCTCACTGGGTTGGCATCTGAAGTGGCATTCGAGAGGGACTGGGTGATCGTGGTGAGTGTGTGTGCGTGTGAGCGTGAGAGGGAGAGTGAGAGTTGACACGTGGCTGTGATCATGGATGTGAATGCATGCAAGAGGGTCTTTGACTTGTTGTACTGCTGGTGGTGTCGAGAGGCTCCCTGAGCTGGGCTCTGGAGTGGCGTTTGAGAGGGACTGGGTGACCGTGGTGAGTGTGAGTGCGAGTGCGAGTGTGAGTGTGATTTTGAGTGTGAGTGTGAGCGTGAATGTGAAAGAGGGACTGATTCTCTTCACCTGAAACCTGTCGGGTTTTTTCTCTTCCCCGTCTCATTACACCCTGTTGTACCCGTTCCGCAGCTCAATTCGTACCCACTTCTCTTTCCTCATCCCTTCCTTTCCTCCTCTTCCCTTGTCCCTTTGACCTTGTTGTGTCCGTTTCCCAGCTGGCAGGACAGGATCGACCCGTGGCTCTGGCCAACGCTAGCGTCTGCTACATCTGAGTCACTTTTTTGAAAACTCGAAAGTAACCCTTCATTCCCATGCTTTTGCTGAACCCCCCTCTCACCCCTCTCATCTTTCCCAGCTGGCAGGACAGGATCGGCCTGTGGCTCTGGCCAACGCCAATGCCATGCTCAGGAGGGTGGATCTATGCTGCGAGGTGAGAGCGTGTGGATTGGGTGGGGAATGGGTTCATCACCTAGCGATGCTGATGCTGCTGACTTGTTGACTTCTTTGCACATTCTTGGACCGTGGCTCTGGCCCATGCCAACGCCAATGCCAACGCCAATGCCAACGCCATGCTTTGAAGAGTAGACCTGTGCTGCGAGGTGAGGGAGGGTGGTGATTTTTTCTGTTAGCATTTGATACTATACGGTACCCTTGAACCGTGGCTATATTGGTGCGACTTGTGAGAATTCTCAATAGTCACATTTGGTACTTTACGGTACCCTTGAACCGTGGCTATATTGGTGCGACTTGTGAGAATTCTCAATAGTCACATTTGGTACTTTACGGTACCCTTGAACCGTGGCTATATTGGTGCGACTTGTGAGAATTCTCAATAGTCACATTTGGTACTTTACGGTACCCTTGAACCGTGGCTATATTGGTGCGACTTGTGAGAATTCTCAGTAGTCACATTTGGTACTTTACAGTACCCTTGAACCGTGGCTCTGGTCAACGCCAACGCCATACTTTGAAGAGTAGACCTGTGCTGCAAGGTGAGTGTTAATGGGTTGGCTTGTAGAGCAAGTCATCCGATTCCCTGTGGTGGTGCAATGATACATTGGAATCGGCCCAGGGAATCATATTACTTGCTCAACCACAGGGAATCCGATTCCCTGGGCAGTGGTGCCTCTGTCTGGGGCCGTGGCTTGTTATGCTCCCTCAGCCGCATTTATTCCTTTTTGTCACGTGAGACGTCTTAAATCAAAATGCTCTCTCAGCTGCATCTATTACCATATTGCCTGTCCTCCTCTTTCCCCTCTCTCGACTCACTTTCTCATGCCCGCTCTCTCATTTCTCCCTCCTCTCCTTTTCCCGCTCCCTCCCTTCTTCCCCTTCAGGTAGCAGCGCCCCTCATCTTTGGATGGCTTATTGTTGCCTTTGGCCCACTGATCTGCGCCAGAGCATGTGTCGCCCTCGTTGCTCTCTCCCTCCCTGCCCTGGTACGTCTCTGTTTCCCGCCGCCCTGCTGTTGTCTGAAATCTGCCCCATGTTCAATTCTCATGTCTGACCCAGAGCATGTGTCGCCCTTGTTGCTTCTCACTCCCTGCCCTGGTATGTCTTTTGCTCCTTTTACCATCTGATTTCTAGGTGTACTAATCACCTCACCTCAAAGTACCCCTCATTGCTCTCTCCCTTTCTGCACTGGTATGCTTCCTGCTTCTCTGCCTTTGCCCCCTGACACACGAGATTACTTTTGAGGTTTTCCCGTTCCTCTTTACCTTTTGCCCTTCTCTCCTCCCCTTCACCCCCCACAGCTCGCCCTCACCACGCTCACCAACCGTCTCTCCCGCGGAGCTCTTAGCAGACCTCGGCCAATTGACAAAAGCCCAAGGAGCCCTCAGCCATCAGAGGAATCCCACCTTCCCTTGGCCCAACTGCCCATAAAAGACTCTGAGGAATCGCAGTCTGCCCCAGAAAAAGCTACTCGCCGTTTTGAAAAAATATATGAGTCCCGGACGGCTAAAAAAATGGGCTTTGTATTGAAGGACTCTGTACCGAACACTCAAGAATGGATGCAACAAGCTCCTTCCTCCTCCTCGTCCTTGCTCCAAGGGTCCTGCGCAGCTTGCTCCTTCTCTTCCCCACCGCCCTCGCCCCTTCTCCCCCTCCCCACCTCCTCTCTATTCAGCAACGCTTCAGCTGCAGAACCCCTCGTCTCGCTCTGCTGCTTCCACCGCTCATGCTTGCATCCTCCACCTGTGCCACATGCAACAGCAGGGATGGTAGGTGTTGAGCATCACAGGCACATGCTGCCGCGAGCCTGCAGCACTGGTCGCGATTGCGGTGCCACCGCTGCTGCTGCTGCCACTGCCACTGCCCCTGCTGCTGCTCCCGCTGCTGCTGCTGCTGCTGGTCCCGCCGCTGCTGGGGCTGCAGCAAGTGTTGGGAAAGCGCTGGATAAAGCTTTGGGGGGCCTGGGGAGAGTGACAGAGGCAGCAGGGAAAGCACTCGGTAAAGCAGCAACTGGGGTGGGGAAAGTGGCGGAGGCAGCTGGGAAGGGGTGGCGGTGTTACGTGCATCAGGCTGTGATGCCCGCCAGTGCAGCCTACGTGCTGCTCTTCTTCAATGCTGTGCTGTCACCCGGGGGACTGCTCACATCCTTCCTCTCCCAACATGGTACGGGCTCCTCACCTCTTTCCTCTCCCAGCAGGCGGTGAGTATGCGCCGTTTGAGTTTACTCATCCCCACCCATGCCTACTTTTGAGACGTCTCAAAAGCCATGCCTACGTGCAGCAGGCTGTGATGCCCGCCAGTGCAGCTTACGTGCTGCTCTTTTCCAATGCTATTCTCTCGCCCGGGGGGCTCCTCACCTCCCTCCCTCCCTTTCTCCCCTCCCTCCCTCCCTCCCCTCCTCACTCTCCGTCTCCCTCCGCTTCCCTTTTCTCCAACTACCAGGCGTGCAAATGTCAGTGATAGGCGCGTTCAGAGGCGCCTGTGCTGCCATGGGGTTTGCGGCCACCTTCGTTTCGCCACCGCTCGTGGCACGACTGGGTGTGCTACAGGTATTGTGGTGCAGTGTGGGGGGTGCAGTGGGGTGTGACGGGGTGCAGTGCAGTGCAGGGTGCAGTGCGGTGCAGTGCTGTGTTGTGGGAAATGGGGTCTGTTTTGCAACCGCTTGTGCCGGCAGTGCTGCTCTCTCCTTCCAAGTCTCCTCCTCTTCCCCTCCTCCACGACTCCCACCGACCCCCCTCCCTTTCCATGTCATGTCATTTTTGAGACGTCTCAAAAACACCGACCCCCCTCCTCCACGACTCCCACCGACCCCCCTCCCTTTCCATGTCATGTCATTTTTGAGACGTCTCAAAAACACCGACCCCCCTCCTCCACGACTCCCACCGACCCCCCTCCCTTTCCATGTCATGTCATTTATTAGACGTCTCAAAAACACCGACCCCCCTCCTCCACGACTCCCACCGACCCCCCTCCCTTTCCATGTCATGTCATTTTTGAGACGTCTCAAAAACACCGACCCGCCTCCCTTTCCATGTCATGTCATCCGTGTTTTGAGTCGACTCAATACATCCCTTGCGCCCTCTCTACTCCTCCTCCCTTTTCGTCAAACTTCCTTGGAGACTCCATCTTCTCCTCTCCTAAAAAAAAACCCTTTCCTGAATCCTGTCCCCTCCTATGCCATCCCATTCCAAGTTGACTTTTCAGTCGAATCATATGTCATCTCGTCAAATTTACTTGCAGACTGTATCTTCTCCTCTCAAACAAACCTCTTTCCTGAATCCTGTCCCCTCCTATGCCATCCCATTCCAAGTTGACTTTTCAGTCGAATCATATGTCATCTCGTCAAATTTACTTGCAGACTGTATCTTCTCCTCTCAAACAAACCTCTTTCCTGAATCCTGTCCCCTCCTATGCCATCCCATTCCAAGTTGACTTTTCAGTCGAATCATATGTCATCTCGTCAAATTTACTTGCAGACTGTATCTTCTCCTCTCAAACAAACCTCTTTCCTGAATCCTGTCCCCTCCTATGCCATCCCATTCCAAGTTGACTTTTCAGTCGAATCATATGTCATCTCGTCAAATTTACTTGCAGACTGTATCTTCTCCTCTCAAACAAACCTCTTTCCTGAATCCTGTCCCCTCCTATGCCATCCCATTCCAAGTTGACTTTTCAGTCGAATCATATGTCATCTCGTCAAATTTACTTGCAGACTGTATCTTCTCCTCTCAAACAAACCTCTTTCCTGAATCCTGTCCCCTCCTATGCCATCCCATTCCAAGTTGACTTTTCAGTCGAATCATATGTCATCTCGTCAAATTTACTTGCAGACTGTATCTTCTCCTCTCAAACAAACCTCTTTCCTGAATCCTGTCCCCTCCTATGCCATCCCATTCCAAGTTGACTTTTCAGTCGAATCATATGTCATCTCGTCAAATTTACTTGCAGACTGTATCTTCTCCTCTCAAACAAACCTCTTTCCTGAATCCTGTCCCCTCCTATGCCATCCCATTCCAAGTTGACTTTTCAGTCGAATCATATGTCATCTCGTCAAATTTACTTGCAGACTGTATCTTCTCCTCTCAAACAAACCTCTTTCCTGAATCCTGTCCCCTCCTATGCCATCCCATTCCAAGTTGACTTTTCAGTCGAATCATATGTCATCTCGTCAAATTTACTTGCAGACTGTATCTTCTCCTCTCAAACAAACCTCTTTCCTGAATCCTGTCCCCTCCTATGCCATCCCATTCCAAGTTGACTTTTCAGTCGAATCATATGTCATCTCGTCAAATTTACTTGCAGACTGTATCTTCTCCTCTCAAACAAACCTCTTTCCTGAATCCTGTCCCCTCCTATGCCATCCCATTCCAAGTTGACTTTTCAGTCGAATCATATGTCATCTCGTCAAATTTACTTGCAGACTGTATCTTCTCCTCTCAAACAAACCTCTTTCCTGAATCCTGTCCCCTCCTATGCCATCCCATTCCAAGTTGACTTTTCAGTCGAATCATATGTCATCTCGTCAAATTTACTTGCAGACTGTATCTTCTCCTCTCAAACAAACCTCTTTCCTGAATCCTGTCCCCTCCTATGCCATCCCATTCCAAGTTGACTTTTCAGTCGAATCATATGTCATCTCGTCAAATTTACTTGCAGACTGTATCTTCTCCTCTCAAACAAACCTCTTTCCTGAATCCTGTCCCCTCCTATGCCATCCCATTCCAAGTTGACTTTTCAGTCGAATCATATGTCATCTCGTCAAATTTACTTGCAGACTGTATCTTCTCCTCTCAAACAAACCTCTTTCCTGAATCCTGTCCCCTCCTATGCCATCCCATTCCAAGTTGACTTTTCAGTCGAATCATATGTCATCTCGTCAAATTTACTTGCAGACTGTATCTTCTCCTCTCAAACAAACCTCTTTCCTGAATCCTGTCCCCTCCTATGCCATCCCATTCCAAGTTGACTTTTCAGTCGAATCATATGTCATCTCGTCAAATTTACTTGCAGACTGTATCTTCTCCTCTCAAACAAACCTCTTTCCTGAATCCTGTCCCCTCCTATGCCATCCCATTCCAAGTTGACTTTTCAGTCGAATCATATGTCATCTCGTCAAATTTACTTGCAGACTGTATCTTCTCCTCTCAAACAAACCTCTTTCCTGAATCCTGTCCCCTCCTATGCCATCCCATTCCAAGTTGACTTTTCAGTCGAATCATATGTCATCTCGTCAAATTTACTTGCAGACTGTATCTTCTCCTCTCAAACAAACCTCTTTCCTGAATCCTGTCCCCTCCTATGCCATCCCATTCCAAGTTGACTTTTCAGTCGAATCATATGTCATCTCGTCAAATTTACTTGCAGACTGTATCTTCTCCTCTCAAACAAACCTCTTTCCTGAATCCTGTCCCCTCCTATGCCATCCCATTCCAAGTTGATTTTTCAGTCGAATCATATGTCATCTCGTCAAATTTACTTGCAGACTGTATCTTCTCCTCTCAAACAAACCTCTTTCCTGAATCCTGTCCCCTCCTATGCCATCCCATTCCAAGTTGACTTTTCAGTCGAATCATATGTCATCTCGTCAAATTTACTTGCAGACTGTATCTTCTCCTCTCAAACAAACCTCTTTCCTGAATCCTGTCCCCTCCTATGCCATCCCATTCCAAGTTGACTTTTCAGTCGAATCATATGTCATCTCGTCAAATTTACTTGCAGACTGTATCTTCTCCTCTCAAACAAACCTCTTTCCTGAATCCTGTCCCCTCCTATGCCATCCCATTCCAAGTTGACTTTTCAGTCGAATCATATGTCATCTCGTCAAATTTACTTGCAGACTGTATCTTCTCCTCTCAAACAAACCTCTTTCCTGAATCCTGTCCCCTCCTATGCCATCCCATTCCAAGTTGACTTTTCAGTCGAATCATATGTCATCTCGTCAAATTTACTTGCAGACTGTATCTTCTCCTCTCAAACAAACCTCTTTCCTGAATCCTGTCCCCTCCTATGCCATCCCATTCCAAGTTGACTTTTCAGTCGAATCATATGTCATCTCGTCAAATTTACTTGCAGACTGTATCTTCTCCTCTCAAACAAACCTCTTTCCTGAATCCTGTCCCCTCCTATGCCATCCCATTCCAAGTTGACTTTTCAGTCGAATCATATGTCATCTCGTCAAATTTACTTGCAGACTGTATCTTCTCCTCTCAAACAAACCTCTTTCCTGAATCCTGTCCCCTCCTATGCCATCCCATTCCAAGTTGACTTTTCAGTCGAATCATATGTCATCTCGTCAAATTTACTTGCAGACTGTATCTTCTCCTCTCAAACAAACCTCTTTCCTGAATCCTGTCCCCTCCTATGCCATCCCATTCCAAGTTGACTTTTCAGTCGAATCATATGTCATCTCGTCAAATTTACTTGCAGACTGTATCTTCTCCTCTCAAACAAACCTCTTTCCTGAATCCTGTCCCCTCCTATGCCATCCCATTCCAAGTTGACTTTTCAGTCGAATCATATGTCATCTCGTCAAATTTACTTGCAGACTGTATCTTCTCCTCTCAAACAAACCTCTTTCCTGAATCCTGTCCCCTCCTATGCCATCCCATTCCAAGTTGACTTTTCAGTCGAATCATATGTCATCTCGTCAAATTTACTTGCAGACTGTATCTTCTCCTCTCAAACAAACCTCTTTCCTGAATCCTGTCCCCTCCTATGCCATCCCATTCCAAGTTGACTTTTCAGTCGAATCATATGTCATCTCGTCAAATTTACTTGCAGACTGTATCTTCTCCTCTCAAACAAACCTCTTTCCTGAATCCTGTCCCCTCCTATGCCATCCCATTCCAAGTTGACTTTTCAGTCGAATCATATGTCATCTCGTCAAATTTACTTGCAGACTGTATCTTCTCCTCTCAAACAAACCTCTTTCCTGAATCCTGTCCCCTCCTATGCCATCCCATTCCAAGTTGACTTTTCAGTCGAATCATATGTCATCTCGTCAAATTTACTTGCAGACTGTATCTTCTCCTCTCAAACAAACCTCTTTCCTGAATCCTGTCCCCTCCTATGCCATCCCATTCCAAGTTGACTTTTCAGTCGAATCATATGTCATCTCGTCAAATTTACTTGCAGACTGTATCTTCTCCTCTCAAACAAACCTCTTTCCTGAATCCTGTCCCCTCCTATGCCATCCCATTCCAAGTTGACTTTTCAGTCGAATCATATGTCATCTCGTCAAATTTACTTGCAGACTGTATCTTCTCCTCTCAAACAAACCTCTTTCCTGAATCCTGTCCCCTCCTATGCCATCCCATTCCAAGTTGACTTTTCAGTCGAATCATATGTCATCTCGTCAAATTTACTTGCAGACTGTATCTTCTCCTCTCAAACAAACCTCTTTCCTGAATCCTGTCCCCTCCTATGCCATCCCATTCCAAGTTGACTTTTCAGTCGAATCA